CTATTAAAGCCTATCCCCGACGTTACGCGAGATTTCTGGTCTTTTAGCGACAGACTCGCCGTTTTCGCCCTTAACAGCACGCTTTGGAAAGAAAAATAAAGTGCTTGAGAGCACACTTATCCTTTGAAAAAGAAAGTGAAAAAAAAAAAGAAAAAAAAAAAAAAAAAAAGAAAGCGAATAGCAAATATTACCTTTAAATCCTACTGAAAATAAATCAAGTCAGGGTTTTTTTTATTTTTTTGCGCAATATATAACATGTCTCGTCCATCCAAAAACAAGCGAAAAGTGGCCGCTGCATCAAAGGCAAGAAGGATAAAAAAATGTCGTTTGGACAATGATATCTTTAGTGAGAGTGAGTGCGGGTTCGATGTTAATGAAGATGATGGCCAAACTACTAGCGAAGTCCACATAAATGCTATAACTAAGCTTATGGAGGCAAGTAAAATTTGGTTGAAAAATAGGAGACCCTTAACATATACCAGTAATTCAAGAACAACGAGATGGCAACGCAAAATCTCCTCCACTTATGCAGCGTTACATACACCAACCCTGGAAACTTTTTTAAAAAACAATGATAGAGAAGAAATACCCACCAATGTACTTTCCACTATAGAGTTACCAGAAAATTATAAAATTGAGAGTGAAGAAGACATACAAGAAGATAATTCTTTAAAAGTCGTCGCGAAAGATCTTTAGGAAGATATTGATAAACCAAGCTCTCCAGTTCTCAAATTGCGCCTCCAAGCCATGCTTCAATATCTTAATCTTCTTGATAAAAAATGGACAAAGATGAAAGCTACAAAGGCAGTAAGTGATGCTCTTAGTCAAAAACCGCACTATGCAAAAAATCTTCATGCTTGGACGAATAACTATATTAAATTTCACACAATCCCGGTAATTGAAATATTTAATATAAGTGCCACAGAGAAAAAACCTGTATTAAATTTTAAGTTATTACTTTAGCAGACATATGGCATTATTATATAATGCCATATGTCTGCTAAAGTGATCACTTAAATATTTACTACAGGTTTTTTCTCTGCAGCATTCAAAAGCTTTTTTTTTGTCCTGGTTTTAATTTTTAAATTTATGTTAACTGATAGATAACTAGACGTGGACTTCATGTTAAAACTATTACTTTCCTCTGGGATGAGGATATTGTTAGTCAAATAAAATCATTTATCTGATCCAACAAGTTCGAAGTATCTTCAAAAATTTTAGCAAAATATATTAATGATGAGATTCTTCCTAGTGAGCATTATTTTTTTAAATTATCTAAAGTATTTCTAATTAAAAGAATCCGCTTCTCTATATATGTAATTTAGAATAGTAAATTAAAACAAATATTTAAAAAAAAAAAACTAAAAATATGCTCTTTTAATTGGGAATACTCCACACAAATAATGTTTATACACTGAGTGTTTGTATTAATTACATTATACTTTACAGGTCTTGGGTTTGATCCGCCCCCAACGATTCATGAAAACACTGCACGTAATTATCTAATAGCACTTGGCTATGAATTTTCTCGTGTAAAAAAGGGAGTGTATGTTGGTGGCCATGAACGAAGTGATGTTGTAGCGTATTGCAAAGTGTTTCTAGATAAAATGCTAGAGTTAGAAAAATTAATGCCAACATTTGATGGTGAGAATATGGAAATAATGAAATTGCTGGTATTACCTCCTGGTGAAAAACTCCACATACTTGTTATGCATGATGAGTGTGTATTTTCGTCATACGATGGTATGCCAATGTGTTGGAAACCTAAAGGTAAACAACCCCTAAGAAAAAAAGGGCAAGGTCAATCTTTGCATGTGAGTGAGTTTTTAACAGATGTATGTGGACGTTTAAGGCTGGAGGTAAATTTAATTTTATTAAATTTTTTTATGATTTAAAAGTTTTACTATGTAGTTTAAATAGTTAATTCTTTTTAAAAC